GGGGTTTAAAGATTATCTCAGAGTAGTACTTTGTGGGTTCATTCAACCTCCATGCATCCAAAGAGCCTGGATACCATGACACTTTGAAATTAGGTTATGTATTTTCTCCTTTTTGATCAGGATCCTTCAATAGGATCTTTGACCAAATTGTTCAGTAGTGGTAGCCTGGCACCATCCACTTCTGCTGGTCTCATGGCAGCAAGGCAGCTGTTCATGGAGGCGATGAACCACACATTCCATTTTGTCTGTTTTATTCCTGTCTCACCTCTTCTGCTATTGCTCCCGGTGAAGAGAGAAAAAGTGTTCTTTGCTGTTTTTCTTATATAAGTTCTCCTCACATTATTGCACACCTTTGGTCAATTTCCAGACTCCTAAAATTTCTATTTTGAAAAAAATGTTCCAGTATTCAAATTACTTCTGGGCATTTTCAGAGGTGTTTATTCTTACAGGGCACCCTGCTGGTGGACCTGGTTGCCTGTTGGAGTGCTAACAGCAAGGTCAACAGTTCAACTCCACCATTCTGCTCCTCAGGAGAAAAACAAGCCTGTCTCCTGTAAAGATGAACAGGCTAAAAACCCAAAGGAACAATTCTCTATTCCAAAGGGTCATTGTGAGTCAAAATTAATTCAATGGCAGTAGGTTTTAGTTTTTAGTCTGACATTCCAGAAATCTTCCTCCCTGTAACTATTGACCCCTACTCAAAAATGAAAATCCATTACCTCTGAGTTGATTCCAATTTGTGGTACCCCATGTGCTACAGATAACTGATCCATAGGGTTTACTTGGCTGTAGTCATTACAGAAGATTTCTGGGCCTTTTTGCTGCAGCACCTCTTTCAATTAGTAGTCAAGGCCAAACCATTTGAAGCACATAGGCAGCTCTTCGTCAATGCCAGCCACATTGGAAGTGCTCAGTGACCACACAGCAATAGTGTGGGATAGTGCACATACAGAACATTTTCATCATTCTCAAAAGTTCTCCCAGGCATGGCCAAAAAGTAGAAGTAACCAACCTAGAACCAAGTTCTAGAATTCCAATTCTTGTTCATCCCTCTTGTCTTTTCAGATCTGTTTACCACAGCAATCACACAGGGGTGGACTCCCTGTGTGGCTTTTCACCCATGACTCGGAGACCGGACAGAATTGTTATCTACGAGGAATTTCTCCATCTTACCCGGAATGGTACTCAGCTACAGAACTTCACCCTGGACAGGAATAGTATCCTTGTGGATGGTAAGGCTCCCTGGTCATTGAGGCTGGAGGGGAGAGTGGGATTTGACCTCCAGTGGGAATCTGGAGGCCTGGGATGAGCCAGCATTGAATGTATCTAGACCAACAGGAGGAAACATGACCCCCACCCCTGCCTATCATTGAGGGAGAGAAAGACGGTCCTGAGGGGGGGCGATAAGTAGTTTTAACTCAACTGCTAACCAAAAAGGGAGGGGATTTAAACTAATCTAGCAGACTCCCAGAAGAAATGCCTAGAGATCTACTTTCATAACATTCCAGACATTGAAAACCCTACAGTTCAACTCTGAAATGTATAGGGTTGCCATGAGTTGGAATTAACGATAGCAACGGGCTTGTTTGCCTTTTTAATGGGTCACAGGAAGTCTTTGTCTCACATAGATAGTTGTGTCACATTAGGCTAGTGACTCCCCACTCTCTGAGCTTCTGTTTCCTTATCTCTACATACTACAAGCCACTTGGCAAGGACATCAGTGAAGGCATCTAACCTGGACCCACCCTTGACATGTATAATGGAACAGACCTGCTCTCCCTCTAGGATGCCTCCAAGAGAGCAGAATCTTGTGCGTGCACACTTGTTCACTGAGAAAGTGTCGATTAAGGATCTACATTACACAGTACACCAGGAGTGTAGCAGGAGAGGAGTCCCTGGGCAGTGAAAACACATAATATGCTTAAATGCTAACTGAAAGTTCAGAGATGCTGGTCCACCCAGAAGTGCCTTGGAAGAGTGGCCTGGTGATCACCTTCCAAAAAGTAAGCCACTGAAAACCCTGAGGAGCACAGTTATACTCTGGGACACCTAGGGTTGCTGCAAGTCAGAGTCACCTCAATGGCAACTATTTTATAAAGAGAGTGACTTTGATGATTAGTATTTGCTAAAAGCAAGTGTTCTGCCTTAATATTTAAAGTACATAATAGGCACTGAAAGCATATAAAGGAAAAACAAGATCTCATATACAATCCCTTGTAGGTCAAGTGTGAACAACATATATAAGGTGGGGCTTCCCAGTTACCATGTGCTCTGTTCCTGGCTTTTCCTGTGGTTGTACAAGAACAGATTGTTGTTTCTCTACAGCAGGAGCTAGCAGAGTTTTGGTTTTCCTGTAAATATGTTAGGCTTGGTAGACCACATAGTTCTCTGTCACATCAACCACTAAAGGACTTAGCAGCTCTTTTAGAAAAGGTAAATGCCATCAGCAGCAGGCACACTGTGCAGAAACAGGCCAAGCAACTGATGTCACTCACAGGTTGCAATTTGCTAAGACTTGCTCTTGAGAGTAATGATGTCCAATAGAATTTCCTGCAATGAAGGAGACTTTCTATGTCTGTGATGGCCAGTACAGTAGCCACTTGTGCCTATTGACTACCTAAAACTGGCTAATATGACAGAGGGACTGGATTTTCAATTCAATCCTATTTTAATGTCAATCTTAAAACTACCCTTGTGGTGAGTCCTACTATATTAGATAACATATATATCTTAAGTTCGACCCAAAGCAGTCTGCTGCGCACCTTGAATGGTTCAGTGCGGCAGAAGGAAGTTATAGTGACACAGGAAAGCAGAAAGAAGAGAATTTACTGCTCTCGGGTCCCAGAGAGAAGGCCACATGGAGCTGAATCCAAGATAAGACAACAACAAGCCAAATCTGTACAGAAGGGTTACTTTGGTAGAATCTCAGGGTTAGCATGTGCTGATATCTTATTGATCAGTTTAAAGGTTCATACAGTAAAAAGGGAAAGATTTCACCAGAGGAATCATAATGGTCGTGATTGGAGTGGTCAGGCATAACCACGCCACTGAGACGCTGAATTACAGACTACTCATCGGTTATTATCATAGGAAATTGTATGGAGGTATGCCAGTGAGACATTGAGAGTCAGATGGGGGCCACAACTACTGAGCAAGTGTGTGACAAGACAAGAAAAGCTATGTCAGAAGCTAGGTGAATGGCCAACTGGGAAGAATGAATGAATGCTGAGGCACAACGTTAACCAAGCCAGAAACTGGCCACCTGACACCTTATAGAAGCTGGCTGAGAAGAGGACTTGAAATTATCTCCTTATATCTAGTGGATGCTGTATCTCTCTAGCTTTATGGAGTTTACACACTAGTTGACAGTAACAAGAGTAGGCCTTTGTCCCTTATGAAGTCTTTGATGTGAATCTCTTCAGACTGGAAAGGTAATGGAAAAAAGATGTGTCCAAAAAATTATAATGAAGGAGAAAGCTGGACGATGGGTACAAGATAACTAGATGACATTTAATAAGGGGATGAATATGTTGCTAGGGCAAGGTTAATCTCTGGAGGGGGGATTTTGACATTTAGAGAGACCTTGTAGGATTCCCAACTTGTAGTGACCTGTTCTCCTCCCACCATCAGATGGCCTAGCCCATTTAGGAAAGATGGAGCTTTCCACTCCCATGAAACGTTACAGCCTTGGAAACACAAAAAAGCAGTTCTGTTCCACAGGGTCGCTGTGAGTCACGATCAACTGAGGGGCAGTGAGTGAGTTATTGCTCATGGGGTGTAGATTTAACTTATCATACTCTTTTGGTGTGCTACTAGCCTTATGGTTATGTAGCAAAGAATACTTATTTGTTGGAAATAGAAATTGAAATATTATAGATGAAATATCAGAGATACAAAATATATAAAGGAAATGTGAAAGGTAATAGTGCAAGATTCTAATACACCACTTCTAATCAACTGGATATAAAAGACCTGAATGACACTATCAATCAACTATACCCAGCACACATGTATAGAACACCCACGCAGAAACCACAAATAGATCTCCTTCTCCAATATACAAGCATCGTTCTCTAGGATACACCACATATTGGACCACAATGTAAATGTCAACAAAGCTTAAAAGACTGAAATCTTAAAAAATGTATTTTCTTATGGCAATACACTGATAGAAGGAAAAATTGAAAAATACACAAATATGTGGAAATTAATCAACACACCTTTAAAAAAAGTGGATCACAGAATGAATCAAGAGAGAAATCAGAAAGTATGAACTGAGTGAAAATGAATGCACAACATATTAAGACTAAGGGGATTCAGGGAAGGCTGTGCTCCAAAGGAAATTCATAGCTGTAGATGGCTAGATAAAAAAGACCTAAAACCAGCAACCTAACTTTACAGCTAAGCGAACTAGATAAAGAAGAGCCCCAAACTACCAGAAAGCGGGAGGGGGAGGAGGAGGGGGATGGCAGGGAGAGAGAAAACAATAAAGACCCATGCAGAGATCAGTGAAATAGAGGATCGAAATAGCATACTGCCTGCTTGACTTTTATACTTCACTAGAAGATGAAGTAAGGGTTTCAAAGCTGTTAACAATTGTTAAATATAGATTCCGCGGGTTCCTTATGTTCTTTCTAATTTTCTGTACATTTGATCATTTTTATATAAGAAACCAATAATCTCCATTTCATTTCTCTTCAGGGTATTCACCCAACAGACATGAGGCCTTGACTAAAAATCCTGGTAAGTCTTAAAGGGAAGTCCCTGCGTGGTGCTATGGGTAATGTCTTTATTTGGCTGCCAACTAAAAAGTTGGCGGACCGAGGCACATTGAAAGAAAGTTTAGGTAATCTACTTTCAAAGACTTTTGAAACACATGGGATCACTGTGGGTTGGAATTGCCTAAATAGAAAATTGATATTGTTGTTATAGTTTTTAAGTCTCAAAGGAGCCTCAATTCAAGGTAGGGAGGGGGCATCCTGATGCTGTGCCCATCAAGCAGCACCATACATAGAGGATCTCTCTGTTGACTGACCCATCTCAAGGACAAATGAGGCACCACGAAGGGCCTCTGGAAACACAGACCTGAGGCTAAGGAGCCATGAGGCAATGGGGCCACCAAGCCAGTCCTCAGACTGCCAGGGTCTAAGCAAGAGCTTGGAGGGCATGGGAGCAATAGGAGGTGGCTTATCCTAGCACTTGTCTCTCCAGACCTCCCCTTCTGGGCCATAATTCTTATCTGCTTGGCGGGACTACTGGCACTCATCACCTGCCTGGTGTGCTGTTTCCTGGTAAGTGAGGGAGGGTTGTTTGTTTTGTTATTATTCTTTACATTGTTTGATATATTCAAAATGCAAGTCCATTGATTGATGTCTGCTTTGAAAATATTTTTCCCAGTCTATGTGTGGATGGCCTTTTAATTTCTTTACATCATTAATCATTAAGGAAATCTAAATTAAGGCTACAAAGAGATACCCCTCTCTGCAGGAATGAGTACATTACAAAATACTCACTATAACACGTCTTGGAGAGGATGGAAAGCCACTGGCACTCTCAGAGTGTTAGTGGAAAATAGCTTAGCTATTTCTTTAAAAGTTGCAACAGCCAATCGACTCATAGGAAATCATCTAAGAGAAATTAAAGCAAATTCTGTGTCATATTAGCTTTGGTGTAATGTCCCAA